GAGATTATGAATGCACAGATAAGCTTATGAATAGAGGAAATTCAGGAGAACTAAATAGCTGGAAATAATACTGATTTACACAATGTAATGATGAAGCACAGTGATCAGATGCTTGAATTATATTTTATTTATCCTTTTTCTTTTTAACGCTGTAGCTCAAGAAGTCGTGAGTGAGCTCTTTTCCAACATAATTTTCTGCATCTGCTTCCAGTAGTATTTCTTGGTAAGAAGTGAAACCAGTACGAAACTACAAACAATAGTCGCAGACGTGCTTAACGAGGAAAAGTAACATCAATATCACTGATTAGTTACATCCTGCTATATCGTAAGGAGCCGTATGCAAACAAAATGTTCTGCCCCACAGAAATGGGTAGATTGAGGTTATCTCTCCACAGTCATGAATGCTGGTCAGTACACCAGCCTCCCTCTGCCTGTAAGGCAAACCATAAGGTTAGGAGGGAGTTGTGGATCTCAGTAACATATATCGAACTGGTGGATGCTCAAAAACCCATCTCATCTGGCTCCGAATACTTAGAGGAGTACAGTCAGCTTAGGCGCATGCTGATACAAAGCCTACGCAATGACCGCAGACAGTGGTAGGTTGCGAAAGCGAGAGAGATGGAAAAAACGGCGGTGATAGGCAACAAAATGCAACTCTTCAGACTTATCGAGGAAACCGGTATAAGAACCAGAATGTTAGTGAGACCTTTGCAAAAAACGATGGTCGTATCATTCATCCTCAACCCAGGAGATTGGTTTGATGAGCAGAACACTTCAGGGAATAGTTCCATTGGCCTTTAGCGACACGTCGGTTGCCTCTGACGAAATGAAGAGTCTTTTGACCACTTTAGGCAACAATGCAACCCAATAAGCAATGCTGTCGTTCCGCCATCATGAATGCTGATCAGATACACCACTGTCTCTCCTTTCGTGATATTAGGCTCTCTTACGTTTAATGGTAAACTTTGAATAATATTTTTGAGTTTAAACTCTATTTTTCGTGCATCTTGTCGGAATACACTTTTTTCCAACCACACGTTACAAGCAAACCAGACAGCTTTGGCTCCTGTATGTTGGACTCAATATCCACGTAGCATATCATACTGCTGTTAAGTTAGCTAATTGTATAAATCGTAAGTTATGGTTCAGTTAATATATAGTTTGGAGATAGGAAGGATAGGCATCCGAAGAAAGGAAAAAGAGGAAAATAGTGTTAAAATTTCATGAGTAAGGCGATAAATAGGTAAGGAATCAAGGTGTTTGGATGTTAATGAATTGGGAAAATAAAAATTTATTAGACTGTTAATACGTTAACAAGAAGGAACTCATAAGGATACAGGAAGTTTGAGTTCCTTGTAACTAATAATAAATGAGCTGCATCTACAGGATTTTGACTTTACTTGTCTTCTAGAAATAGTAACTCAATGTGCTTTGAAAGTTGAAAAGATATTGATACGAACAGAAGTTATAAGAAAACTCCAAATGTCAAGGGTAGCATCTCAAATGCGTTACCTACTGCTGTTAGTAGGAGTAGGAGGATTCGTCCATCATATTGCGATACCTGTATGGCTGGTAATGCGGGTCCAATATATTACTATATTATTATTGTTATTAAGAATAAGCAGCACTCAGGAAAAATTGGTTAACAGATCGGAGGACATAATAGGTTGGAGAATCCTTGTGGGTGGCCTACGCCTCATAAGAGTTAAAGGTGTATGTAAGCAATTCCTCCGTATCATTAGGATAGACTACAGACGTCCATATGACAGACCGTTCATGAAATTCAGAAGTGATACATAAATATTTCCCTTTGAACTATAGGTGTAATGCAGACTGTAGGGCTTGCTGTTGGTGATCTTGATCTCCATAACGGATTTAGATGGATTTAAGAAACGCACATGGTCCACCAGGGTACGGGTACCTGTGTGGTTGCACCACAGGATTGAATCGAACTGTTCATGTAGTAATGGTAAAACGTGTCCAGTCTCTATGGTTCTCCTGAAAACCAATGTAAAGTTGCCCTAGACAATACAGGGTAAATTTATATAATTGAATAAAAATATAAAACAAACGCACAATCTGAGGGACGTGTGGCAAGTGGGATGCATTTACTAGAAAGAGGTACAGTTATTTTTAAAGTAATATTCTGTTCCGGCAGTTTTTTCAACTGTGAAATGTTAGGAGTTTGTGTATTCAGGAGCTGCCCGTTTTTGCCCTCTGGTCTAGAAGTTAGATGGTTGTTTTTCAGTTCACCACCTATAAATCTCCTGTTTCTTTGAGTTAGGTAATCAATGTGGATGATTATTTTTAATTTGACGAAACTTTTCGCTTACTAAGGATTTCATTTTTTGCAAATAGCAGCAACACTATTCCTTACTTCAAACTAGATCTTTCTCTAGATGCATTTTGAACTATTGGGACATTGCGAACTATAGTTCGTTGAACAATATCCCCCATCATCCCTCTGTGCTCATCCACTTTTAGCTTACATTGTGCTTGTAGGTACAATGTGTGTGGAGGATTTAGTTTTTAAGTAATGGAGTTTGCGTGGTAGTAGCTCACAAAGGGTGCCTATTTCATGACAGTGGCTATCGATAAATCTTCCTTTTACAATGGTTTATCAATTTACAAGTAGTCTCATAAATTTAACTGCCTCATATTTCTAGATAATCACAGTAGTCCAACTGTATTTATATCTTATATAACAGGGTAAACCTGTAGCTATAAATAAAGACCATTTGACTTTTATTCGATGAATATTTTACGTTGACGATTACACCACCGTGTTCCACAGAAACCTATTAGCGATAACCTAACTTCCAGCACTTGTGACACCATATCAATATGTCAAATAAATTTTACAAATATTCTAGTGATTATATAGATAGTTTTCTGCCCTTAGTGGGTAACTCACAATGGCGTGTAAATTTCTGAAAACTACATAATGCAGTCCAATATCCAATTTTTTTTTTCACGAGCTAGTGTAAACCAGTTGATTTCTTAGCAAAAGTAGTAAGTGCCAACGAACATGTAGATGCGGTGAAACCAATGAACGATATTGAAGAGAGATTCGTACGATCACGATGACGATAACAATAACTCAACATGCATAATGCATTCATTTTAGTAAGAACCACCGTAAAATACCACTCTACTTACAAGAATGGAGGGTCCAGACACTCATCTAAGCGATGACCGTGGTATTTAACACTAAGGAAGCCTAACACTTGAAGAACATTCCCCTTATTTTATCTCCAGATCTGGACGGCTCATATGGTTTGTGAATAAGAACTTCTTAACACATGAGGCTAAGCGTACACTCTTCAAAATGTGTTTAAAGTCCTCCCTTGAATACTGCACATTTATCTTTTCTAACATGAATATCTAAGAAAAGTAATAGTAGAAAATGTCCAATGAAGCTTCGCAAGGCAACTGCTAGGATGGAACCATACTCTCGACATCACAGGAAGATAAAAACAATTCCCACGAACCTTTATGGCGTCGTGGGTTGGGAGGAAATATAATAATTTTCTACAAAATTATATACCGCTTCTCGTTTGTAACATCTCGGTGAGAGTGTGTTACCTATAAATTATAAATTATGGATATCTAGGCGTTCTAATGAAGAAAAACCATAAAGGTGCGAATATCTATGAGGCAGGACCTACGAAAGGCGACATGGTTTTTTGGGGGACCTTTAAATAGTTTTATCACTCGAATCACGAAATGATGGGGGTTTTGTTACAAGTTTTTTGAACGTCATATTTTGCATACAGAATTCAAACTACTAATATCTATTCCAAGTATGAGATGAATAAGCTTGGATGAGTTCAATGACAAGAAGCAAAGATGGTGAAAGCTCTCGCTGATCCAACCTATTTCCGTTATGGTACTACAGGTTATGAGGTGATTTCATACCAGATTTAGTATTGGAAACGATGACCTTGGCTCTTTTATATCCTATCACTTCTTTGGATGAAGCCTTAGAGACAACATTCTCAGAAAGTCCGGAATGTGAGATCAAAACATGTGGACTTTGTTTCTCGCTTGGAATGGTCAAATACCGGGATTTTCTGGTGGAACACGTAATATCAGCAACCTCATTTGTCCAATGCAGGATGGCTTGGATCATCAGATTGATTTAAATTTTACTGATTAATAATTATCTATTGACCTGTTACTCATACTACTTAAGGATGAGTTAGACAGGCTTCACACTTGGTCTCTGAGTAGTCAGTGTTTAATTTTGGGGGAATTTGATGGTCCTTTGTGCTCGACTGAAACATAGGATCGACCTTACTAGATCTTATAGTACCTCATTGCAAGGATGACCCTTCATGACTCTACGCATGCTACGCAAGGCTAGTGGTCATGCAGTTCTAGTCTTCGATTTCCATATCGTTATAAAAAATGACGTGTCAAGCTCGTCCCACGAACACTTGGAGTTTCCTTATTATTTTAATTCACATCATTATCTTCTTATCTTCGACAGCACTTTAGTTTTTACTTCTAGTAGACAACTCAATTTTAAAGCCTGGAGAATCTGCTTCACTACAGTAGATTACAAGGAACTTGGACTCCCTTTGTCAGGGTGAATTCCTTCCCGTACAAAGTCTTATACATTCATAATAACCCTATTTGTACAAATCCAGTTGTCTATTTATCGCCATGCACATCAATTGGTAACACTATTTATTTTCTTCCGTCAGCTGTCTATCTTTCCTATCTCCAAACTACATATTAACTGACCCGTATTTTACAATTTTAGTGGTGATAGAGTCCAGATCGACTATAATCACAACTAAATACTTACTACAATCCCGTTATTCCATAGTAAAAAATACATCTGGTGGCATTTTCGCGGTATCTGAAGAAAACTGAAATCGTTCCAGAAAAGATGGGCGAGATCCCAGAGACATCGAAGACATAATGGCAGCAACACAAACAGAAAGTTTGTGCGTGCAGAAAGTACTAGACAAAAAGTACAATTAAACAATAACTGGTACATTTAGGTATAATAATAAATGTTTCTGTTAAAACAATCGCGTTCTCTTCTTAAAAGGGTTTGTACTTTCGATAGGTAGCGGCTTCATTCGTGGAACTGATCAGCGAAACGTGCGACTGTAGGACGGAAGGGTTGATGAATAGGAAACGATCCATGATTCTCGAGTTGTAACAGGTCTATCGTAGAGAACGGTAACATGAGTAACGTGCAATTTTTTCTGCTTAAGTTCGCATGCGACACCAACTTGGCTAGTATCCAGATTCCGAAGACTGCGACCGTAGGGGTTTGGACCAGAAGACGCTGTGGACGAAGGACGGAGCGACATTGAGAGAAAGAATTAAAAAAACGACCATAACGACCAGGTTCGAGATCAAACGTATGCCAGACGTTGTTTAAACTGAATATCGATTGGGTGCATTGACAAGAGATTGGGTGATCAGGCCATTTTTTGCCAAGATTGACTGAAGTCTGAGGTACCAACATGATGACGGTTGGGTTCAGAATAAAAAAAATTGAGGAAATATAAAACGGTGTAGCAAGAATATAACAAGGGGTTTATTACACAAATTACTTCACTAGTTAACTTAATAGCAGTGTCATATTCTACAAGAATATTTAGTCCAATATTTAGCCGAACCTGTCTGGTTCGCTTGTAACCGTAAGTTGATAGATAAAGCGTATTCTCACAAGGCCTGCGAAAAAACCTAGATGAAAATAATGATCGAAACATGTCAAACTTGGCTAAAGAAACTCTTTCTCTGCTCCTCATCAACGACACAACTCTACAGAAATATACAAAGCTTCAGAGTCAAAGTTTGCTTGAACTCATCGACCTATGCTTAACAACAGATCTTCAGTTCAACAACAGAGTCTACGAACAAATAAAAGGAACACAAATGGGATCACCAAAATCAGGACTCATCCCTGAAGCTGAAATGCAGAGACTGGAAGCGTCAATTCTGCCAGTGATCAAGCCAAAAATGTGGGTTTACTATGTAGACGACAAATTCGTTATTATTAAGATGAATGAGCTGGAGAACATCAACAATCAGATCAACAACGTCTTCGATGATATCAAATTCACGATGGAAAAGTATTCAAACAACAGCCTATCATTCCTGGATATACTAATCACCAGAACTAACGCAGGAAAACTAGAAACTCAAGTATTTTGGAAGCCAACCAACACAGACGTAATTCTCAACTACGACAGCAACAACCCAAGAACCCACAAGATTAACTGCGTACAAACTTTGTTCAAGAGAGCGAAGACACACTGCAGCACATACGAATCATTAAAAAACGAGAAAAAACACCTGATGACTATCTTCCAAAAGAACGGCTATCCACTCAACTTCATCAAAAAACATCAACCGAAACCATCATCAGAAGCGAACTGAAGCACAGAAACAAATAAACGGATCATCCCACCATACATAAAAGACATATCGGAACACACAGCACGACTATTGAAACCACTTGTAATAGGTGTTGCACACAAACCAACAGAATCACTTCAATCAATCCTATGTAGACCAAAGAACAAAATGACGAAGGAAGAAAAACCAAATATCATCTACAAAATAAATTGCTCAAACTGTGAAAAACACTACATAGGACAAAGTGGACGACCTCTTCAGCTCCGTTTACGTGATCATCAATTAGCAGTCAAACTCCACGACAAAGCTTCACTTATATCAATACATACCGACAATTATGGACACACATTTGATTGGAACAATGTAGAAATACTGAATAGGGGGAGGACAAAGAACACTAGAGAATTTTTACAAGCTTGGCGCTCAGGCCAATTAGCAATCAACAAACACATCGACATTGACTCAATTTATCAACCAGTCAGAAAAATCATAGGTGACATAGGATCAAGAAACAGATCCAAAAGGGGATACAATCAAAACAAATGTGCAAACAAAGACAGGCTTAAGGTCAGCAGCAACCAATCAAGATCGAGGTTAGCAGAACAAGCTACAGGTCAAACGTGGAGAAATTCGAATGCTTCACTTCTATCTGAAGTTTGTGCTGATGATGTTGTTCAGAAGAACAATGAAAGCTCCACAACAAAAACATCCAGCTCAGAGAACAAAACACCACCACAATCATCCACCTGAGCTACAATTTTTATCCACCATCTCAAAATTACAATTTATTCTCAGATAACAACATGTTAAGAGAGGCATGCCAATTTGCAGATAAGATCAAAGTAGTAAAATTGCCAACTTATTTTCTGTAAAAGGTTGTGTATCTATATCAATATTTCACAAAGTACATTGATTTTTATAGGGCGCTAAAGCTGTTCAAACTTAACTTGATAAAAGAAAATTATTAAACCTAGATTTTTGTGCAATATTCTTAGGGCACTAAGTGTACGAAGCCTAAAAGCACAATGAAAAGACACAATTAAAATAAAACAGTTCATGGATATAAACAGGTTGCTTAAATATACTACTTACTCCGAGCTAAACGTCCAAAGAGAGGGAGTTTAATCACGTGAAAAAGCTGAAAGCTATCATGTCAAAATAAATCTTTTGAACTTTTACTGGTAATATCCAGAGTTGCCTATTTTCTCATTTACTGGATGAAACATGGAAGAAGCTTTGCTCTTACCTTATCCACATTCTGGATTAAGTAATAAATGATTTAATGTCACACCTCATATAAGCTGAATTTTCGGATGGATCAATTACAGAATAGTATGAACAATTTGTTTGTAAATAATAATGACAAAATTCAATTTTTTCTTTATTATGAAAACGTCACATCGCTATGAGTAAAAAAATGTAGAGCTTTAGACATTTGTAATTTCTGTAAGTCTGTTTAGTTCGCTAACTCAAACTGCAACAAGTTAAATAAAAGGGAGCAATAGTGCTGCTACCCGACTCAAGTGAATTTATACGGCCTATTTCAAACCTTAAGGTGATAAACATAGAAAACCAAATCGGAAGGCGAATATTTCGATGACAGTTTCAGCTGAATCCCAACTGTAAGCTTAAAATGGGAGTGAAAGAATAAATAACAACTGCTCTATACGTTACCGCAGAACAAAGCATTATTGTCGCGCATATTCCTATGAATAAACAGCTTAAAAGAAGAGCCGCTTATAATTTGATTCAAAGATGAAGTCACAGAAAGAGAAACAAATGGAACGGGTTTCTCACGAATTCACATAAAGACATAAATCATGTAGTTTACAGAAACATTAAATAGATCTTAAGGACATTTTTACGATTACTGGTAAATTGACCAACATATTGCTGCTGATATCTCCCATGACTGTTCCATTTCGTCCCTTCCTGAAGTCTGCATTCGTCATGAACATGGAATTCAATGTTTACTCAATCGAACATACTAGTAAGCTCATCTTACAATATTTTCGGACTCGGATGAATAGTATCACGAATAAGCAGCCAAGAACTAGTAATATCGTCAACAAACAAACTGTCAGAAACTAACCCTTACATTTAATTTAACAGTGATAACTTTTGCAGTAAATTTGGTAGCAATTGTGACAATTTGATCTAGCCTGTAAACTGGCATCCCCCTTGTAACATACTGTTATCTAAGAATAAATGTATTATTAAATCCCTAAATACATCATCGGGTTAGTCGATTAGTGATTCTCTATATAAAATTATCATAACTGTGAGGCAAGTATAAGACAATCAGCGTAATATACGTTGGTACAAAGGGCAATGGTATTGTCATTTATAAAAGGAAGAAAATGAATTATGCCTCATAAAATGCATTCATGGGGAGTTTTGCAAATCCATCATCAAATTCATAAAAATAATGTACATCTGGCTGGACTAAAAAGAAATTTAATGTCACTGTAAATGAACTTCTACAGTGGCCGATCCAATGGGTTCCAATAGAGGCACTCCTGTACGCTTTTCCCAGTTCCGGGTCCCAACCAATTCAAAAAGGACAAAATTCTAGGAGAAAGCGTCTGTATTAATTAAAAAATGGAAATACAAAGCATTACCTAAAAATAGTGCTTCTTCCAGGGTCCAGTTACTCCGCAGAGTATCAGACACAGTAACAAATAAGTGACGCTAAGTCCAGCGGCCACTGCCTCAGTCCAAAAATGTGGCGGTAGCCATATTATATCAAATTTAAACAACATATGTACAGTTCAGAAGCAAACACAAAAACTTCAATATAAGTACAAAATATAGAAAGAATAACAATATACAATGATAAAGCCTCAAATTGCAATCAAATAAAGTACCAAAAATGTCAACAGAAAAAGTCCGTCATGTCATAGCAAAAATATGTAAACATGGAGGGATTTTCCAAAAAACAAAACATTCAAAAAGGATTCTACAGTCACCATGCCAATAAGCCGTGCTTAGGAGGAAATTAAACCCGAATAACAGTTCACTGATTCTAACTAATGAAAAATAAGCGATTAATAATAATAATTATTATTATTATTTATTCTCAAATAACAAACATGTTACAAGAGACATGCCAATTTACAGGCAAGATCAAAATGTTAAGATTAGCAACATATTTCTTTTAAAACGGTATACAGTTACTGAAACATTTCACAAGATTCATTGTTTTCTTAAAGATGGAATGTACAATGCGAATAATTGGCGCAAGTTACGAAGGTTGCGTTACGACAATCATCTTATGGACTGAGAAACGATTCATGGTAGAGATAGGTTTTCATATAACAAGAATTGATGCGGTAAATGTACAAAGGTCTGGTTGATATTCATCAGCTAATGATTTCACATGTTCTTGGGTAGGGTAACCAAGTCTACTGTAAATATCCAGACTAATATATGTGGATTGGAATAAGGTTCTGAAAAAAGAGGAATAAAGAAAACGGGACGAGGAGCGGAACAGAAAATATTCTTGTTTAAATACGAACAACGGCTTTGTACATACGTTTATGGATAAAACAAAGGTATGTTTACTCAGACTTTAACAAAAACTAAACACCTGCACTTATGTAGGTTAACGAAGACAATTCAGTAGTGAGATAACTAATGGGAAGTTAGTCGAATGAATAGAGGAAATTCAGAAGAACCAAGTTGTTAGTAATAATGTTGATTTACAAAATATAATAAAGAGGCTCAGTGATATAATTTTTTGTTTTATTTGTTCTTTTTATTTTTAACTCTGAGGCTCAAGAAGTTATGAATGAGCTCTTTTTTAGTGTAGTTGTCCAGAGCAGCTTGTAATAGGATTTCTCGGTAGGAAGTAAAAACCAGTGCAAGATTACAGACATGGGTTGTAGACGAGGTTAACAAGGAAAAGTAACATCAATATCACTGATTTGTTACATCCTGCTATATCGTAAGGAGCCATAAGCAAACAAAATGTTCTGCCACGCAGACATGGGTAGATTGAGATTATCGCCCCACCGTCATGAATGCTGGTCAGATACACCACCCTCCCTCCCTTAAGTAAACTAAACTAGGCCGTTCTTCCCCCTATAAGATGAAAATTCAGCCTAGTTACTGAGCTTCAACTCTTATTTTTCGTTGCCCAGCAATACCCTCAGCAATGAAAATCTGTATTGTGATGATGTCCTCGTAACCTAATGAGATACTAAATGTGTTACCGTGACAAATAGACCAAGCACTGCCAACAAAGAATAACTGGAAACATTTGGAAGATAGATACAACGGAACTCTTACATACCTTGTCCTCAGCAGATTTCAGAACCAAATCTGTAAATGTTTCTGGAGGTTTTCAGCAGTTAAAGAATTTAGGGTACTGTACTGCTCGTCCTCCGGGTTATTTTAAAGAATCTGAGAATCCTCCCGCAATGGCTCAGTAAAGAGGTTCATACATGTCTCGTGAAAAGAGACTATGGAAGAAATATATATAACTGACTGAGCAACGTATTATCATCTAGCAGCTTGAAATAACAGCCAAACGGATTCTATAAGGTTGTGAGCCTACTACGAAGCTATCGATATATCCTAAAAGCTTCAGTTCGTAAGTACCACAAAAGGCGAGAAAGAAGGCAGCATGCAGATATTCAACGGAAGCTGTAGTACTACATCGCTCGTCGAAGCTCATGTAAGACCAAATTATTTTAGTAAATTATATGCTGTCTAGACACCCTTTTTTGGGCACAAAAAATATACTACTAACCGTCCGGATATCTTGATCACTGAAACTCTAGATGCCTTTGCCGTAGTGGATAAACTGTATATAGACAAACATACGGGACCTTGTGACATATGCGGCTTCAGATCACTGTCGATCCATAGGCTTTACAAGTATGGTTGTTAAATTCTAAGACGAATAAATCTCAAGGAATCGTTTAAATAGCTGGATGAAGATTTATTGCCCTTCGAGATGTGGTGCGTCCTAATGCAAGGCATTGGTGGCTCACAAACGTAATAATAGCCTACGAATTCGGTGTGCTTTTGAAGATCGAAAACCCCTTACAGGCTTCAACGATTTTAGCAAAGCTCTGTACAACTGGTCATCTATATAAAGTGATACGATGATTTGTAGTTTCCTATACATAAGGATAAACGAATTCGTAGTTAGGCACCACCAAAAAGCATGGGTTTACTCCAAGCTGTCTGTCTGCATAATCATCCCCGGTGAAATGTCTCACGGTACAGTTAAGAGACAGTTATTATTTCTTTTCTACTAGCGTAGACTTGATTGCAGTATCCACATTCATGCATAGTTTTTTCTCATTAGGAGTTTTCGAAACTTGTTACGCTCTGTCAGCCGAGGAAACCACAAACATCTCAGTGAATAGCTTCATGAAGAGACATGGTAAACAAGTACTCACACACCGATTATCATCGCTCTCTTGAACCAGCTCTGCTTCATGCATGTCTCCAAACTTGCTTGTAGCTATTACAGTCATTTCCTCAAATCACTCTTCCTTGCCAACACTAGAATCCTCTTGCACGATCGACAATACCAATTAACTTATTTAATTATTTGCTTCTGAAATCTCAGTCGGATTAGATTTTTACCCTTACTATCCTTAACATTTCAACTATCTGATCTCCATCCTAGTAACGTTATAGCTTTTGGTATCCAGAAACCTTACTTTTCTGAAGCAAATATGCTTATTCGAATCACGGGATACACAAACTCGTAAATAACTGCCAAACGACTACAATTAGTGTAGTGGAATGGCTAGACTTCAATCCTTCGGACACTAAGAAATACCTGAAACCGTACCGAAAGAAGAAGAAGAAGTCAGCTCAAAGCAACCAACTAGTTTATACTGGTTCGTGCAAAATATATTGCCAACTGACTAGAATTAGACGATCGAGTGGCTAGACCTCCATCCATTGAAAATTACCGAAAACCAGAAATCGTACCGAAAGGACAAGAATTGAGCGCGAAGAAATCAAATTCGTTTACACTAGCTCGTGAAAAAGATATTGGATATTGAATATTGGATACTTAAGGTTGAACTCTCCGGGAGTTGTGAACGTGGTCATTCAACAATACTCTATACTCTTCTGGTCTTGATTATCATTTTGTCTTGATCTCATGCTTGAGCATTTTCTGATCGCTGTCGATAGCTTCTTCTGTTAAATTTAAGTGCGTTCTATGTGCTTACAGGGTCGTGGACTCAGCGTTTCTCTTGTTCTCTCGTCCTCCAGATTACTTCACTCACTACTCTTCACACTTCCCCATCACACTAGGCGCCTTCCTGCTAAACTCAAACTACCAAAAGGCTGAATTTACATTATTTTCCCGGATGTTGTTCTCCATATTATCATTATATTTGTCCAATATTTTCTTCGGTTCACTAAGCTTAAGCTGTTTACTGGCTTTGGAAGTGAAACCTCATATTAATAATCACAACGTCGTTGATGGTAGTGGTGATAATATTTTCTGGTTTGTACAAGTAAGTTAAACCTACTGATTGCAAGCATTATGTAGATCACAGATTTGCATTTTAGCAAGTTTGGTCATAAAGATAGACAGGCAGACTTCTTTGAGTTTTGTTCTAAACACATTCCTGTGATTCGACCTGAACTTGTGATTGCATCAGGTATATTGTTGTACTACAATTTATTTGTTAAAGGTGATATCACTGATGGCATGGGTAAGATGTTATCGTTGTCTTCACAAAACCTTGAGGAGTGGAAGGACTATTCGTCACTTTTGAAACAATCAGGAGTACTAAAGTTAACTAAGTGGCTCGACGTCCGAGGGAATCACGGTTAGATTTATCTATATCTTTAATGTTAGTTTAGATTGTTTTGACGTTCCATCGTCTGGAGGTGATGGCGATTATTACAGGTAAACTATAAACTGTCTCATATATTACGAAGATTTTATTGTCATTACTATTTTGTGGTAGTTTGTAGTGAAAGATGCTGATTTGATGATTCATATCTCTTGATTCATGAAATGCAGCTGTGAGGTTCTCGAATTCTTATGAGTTACACGTCTTATCATTATTAACATCTTTTGGAATCACTGTAATTCGTCTGATAGTCTTGCGAAGTTCTCAGTAGTACTACTTATCTGGTTTCCCTTTTCAAAATAAATTGTAGTTTGGGTTTCCAGTTGGTTAAATTCCTTACTGTACAACTGTTAAGTCATGCTGTAGCAATTCCACAATGCCTTTATTATCTTAGTAAAGCATTTACATTTTGTAAGAAATAAATATCAAGGTGGTCAACGTGATGCAACATAATAAGTAAAATGTCTTGTTTTTCACTATTATTTCAGTCAGTTTGGAGTACACAGCCGACCTCCATTAAAGTCACAAATATCCAAACTAACAAAACCGTATGGTCAGTATTCATTCATAAGCGTTGATTTGACCCCTGATCCTGGGATTAAATGGCCTTTCAATTTTTTTGGTAGCTTTAATTTGGTAAGCTTTCTATATTAATAGACCTAATTATTCGATTTATACGTTTACTGTGTTTAATTACTTCTATTGTAAAAATTTACTTGCTGACTCACAGGAATGCTTTTTATGTAAGTGTTTGCTATTTGAAATCTCAAATCTGGTTTAATTGTGAACTATGTTTACTGTGGACGATTACAAGTGTTTATTGACGCTCTTGTTTCTTCTTGTTAGTCATAAGCACAAACGAATGAATTGAGTAGTTCCTATTTATGTAAAGGTTATAGCCCCTTAGCATAGTGCGTAGTAGGACAGCGACTTATCGGAATATTGTAAGATCGAATTCCAGGAATTAGTTTGACTGCTTGAATTTTTAAACTATAAAATGCAGCATCTAACGTAGTTGTGACTTTCAGACAAGGTATGTACCACATTTCGTGAGACTTGTGTAAATTCTTCACAGTGGTTTATCGTTAGAAAGTCTAGCACACTGTTAAAGTCTGTTTTTTGCGAATTTTTTTCTGTTGATTATTCATTGAATAATATTCTGGTCGCTAGTTATGTCATTTTTCAAGGAGTGAAGACGGTTTTTTGGATCGTCAGAAACTTATGTACTAACCTAGTTATGTATAAAATGTCCTCTCTCAGTGTCCCGACCGTAACTGCCACCTTGACGTTTTGGTCGGGCTTGCCTATCCTGATGAAACTACCGAGCTATATTGGCTGGAACATATGTTTCTTTAGATTCTCTCGTGTCAGGTAGGCCGATCGGAGAACAGTAAGACTGGAAACAGCTACTCAAGTTTTGAGGGCGAAGTCGTACTGCTGATTGTAGAGGTGTGTAACAGAAGTAACGTGTTTCTCTTGGAAAACCATCATCTACAGCGATGCTGCCTTCTCAGAAGGAAAGAAGGAGTTAAGAAGGTTGGCCATAAAAATGTCACACCTCACTTTAATTCACGGATTTCCGTCTTCTGCTGTAAGTTTATTTGAAGAGCAGAGCTAACATTTCCAATAAAAAGGTCATGCGTGAGCGACCTCAAGCAGTGGTTTCTTGGGCCCTGCGGTCACTCTCCTAGGTCTCTCAGACTAACGCTAAACCACTTCTTCAGATTCCTCACGAAACACCCTTGATGTGAGCAGTCGGGAAGTGACATCCGTAACAGCACACGAGACCGACAACTGGTCACAATCAAATCTCTCCTACACCTCTTAATAACACTTATCTTCACGACCAACCCTTCCTTCATTCCTTTACCACCTCGCGCCGCTGATGCAAGCTATTGAGGTTCACGAAACGTTCTTCCTGGTCTCCTGAAACCACGCTCTAAAACTACATGTTGGAGCTTTCAATATCCGGACCTTGTGACAAATAGGAAAACAAGCTTCCCTAGTTAGGACTTTAGAATCTTATGCCATCGATGTGTGTTGCGCCTCCGAAACACGCATACAGGATCCGAGTAAAATCATTCTTTTGACCTCACCATGTCAAAATAAAGAACCAAGTTGGTTTATGCCCCGTGTATCTGAAAACCCTTATTCTGCTTCCAGTTGCTTCCCTGGTGTAGGTATTGAATTGATGCCTAGGGTAGAACTAGCTCTCTTAGACTGGGTTTCAGCAGATGGTTGCTAATGCAGTCAGTCAGTCAGAGTGTTAGGATATTCACCAAATATCCTAAGAGTACTATTTTTTAGAAGTGTAATCCCATTGGTCGATTTCTATTGGTCAAAATTATAGTCGTTTTAACTGTCAAAGTCAAATACTTCAATGTTGTCTCTTATTGGTTGTCCGGACTGTCAATGTCATTTCAAGTGTTCTTTCCTATTGGTCGTCCTAAACTGTCAATGTCACAGACTTTGATGCTCTTTCCTATTCAACCTTAATGTATAAATACGCACTATCTGTAAGCCTTCAAGATGCCGATTCCGTTTCTCCTGCCTACCTCTCTTCTGTACTCGACCCAATAAACAACTCCATCCCACGGTGTTGCGTTCTGATATATAGGAGATTTGGAAATACCATTTTGGGTCGTATTGGGATATTTGAATTGGACGCCGCTAGGACTGAATAGCTATACGTAGCAGCATTACAACACAGATACAACGTAGAACTTCGTACATAACTACATCAGTTCATGTTGCCATACCACATTAGAACAGAGACGCGATTCTCAATTCGAATCCCATAGTGGTAGTAGAAGAATTACTGCTGATGGAGAGGATTAGGATTTGAAGATAATATTCAAGAAGTATAATTCAGTGAGATAGGTTTAGAATGACCAAGGTAGAGGTGTTGACGAATCCAGAAGATTATGATTTGAGAGAACACAAAGAGTGGATGAACCTGCGCCATTGCAAACGATTCTGAGCCATGTCGTTCAAGGTCACTAACCATTGGTGACTTTCGTCTCGCGGATCCCAACCAGGTAGCCTACATCCACCAACATGACTCAGCTCACTTGTCAGTGACTTCATGGATTTGTGCCATGTTTTGGTTTGGCCGCCCCTAACTTTCTTCCAGCTTAAGCCTACATTGGAAAACATAGCTTTACGAGGCAGTTAACCATACGCAACACATCCCAACCACCTCAAGTTTCAATACTTCATCTTTTTACCTGCCATCCCTACCTAGTACTCGTTTCTTAACGGTGGCATTGTTTTCTCGGTTGTGCCAAGATAAACGAGCAATGCGTCTAAGATATCTGTGATTGAATACTAGTAACCTAAGAATATCTTCTACTCTTACCGGCCATGTTTCACAGCCATAAAGTAAGACGGAGCGAACTACTGCGCAGTACAAACGGATATCTCGCCTACGCCATAAGTGACGCAGGTTGGTAAGAGCCAATCGAGCTTTCTGTATCCGAGCTGAGACTTCTTCAGTCAGCAGGCCATCAGCACTGCTGAAACTCCCAAGAAAAGTGAAGCGGTCTACACGTTCGACTACTTCACTCCCTATTATTAGTCCAGGCGCCGATGTAACCCAATCTTTAAGCAACGTTTTGCATTCCGAGGGAGAAAACCGTATCCCGAACATGCTTGCATTGTTGCTTAAGGTGATCAGAAGTCTCTGCATTTTGTCAGCATCTTCACCAAGTAGGACTATGTCATCGGCATATTCTAAGTCAATAAGCTAGCCACCTGGTATAAGGCTACTCCTAAAAATTCAGACGAGGATAAGGTTAACTGTAAAAGCATGTCTACCACAGAGTTAAACAGAAAAGAGAGAGTGGACAGCCCTGACGGATGCCACTTGAAGTAAAGAATTCCTATGACAGTTCGCCGTAGGCTCTCACCCGACCAGTGGTGTTCGAGTACAGAGCTTGTATAAGGTTAATGTACTTCTTTGGTACACCCTTCAATGACAGACACTGCCACAGAACCTCACGATCCACTGAGTCGAATGCCGCCTTTAAGTCCAGGAAGACAACTATTGTTAGACGTCTAAGTCTGTGTTTGTTTTCCAGGACCTGTCGTAGAGTGAAAATGTGGTGTTTACAGCCACGTTCAGATCGAAAAGGTTGCTAATGCGCTTCCCGACTAAACGCGACAGCAAGGACTCGGAGGGACAGGGACATCCGCCGTTGCCTCTTCGTTGTCTCTGCTTACGCTCCCACTGACTGCAGTTCAAATGAGGTAAAAGATGAATTTTACTGGAAGCTGTCAGACCTCCAAAACGTTAAACAGTCTGAAATAGTAATGGTGACTGATGACTCCAATGCTCAAGTAGGTAGACTATGTGAAATGGGAAGACACGTGGATGGATCTCATGGTGTCGCGACCCAAAGAACAGATTATGGCGACCATACGCTGCAACTATGCTCAGATAATCGCCTATTGCTGGCAAATACCAACTTTAAGCACAGGGAAAAATATCACTTGACATGGCGACCCCCGAATCCGTCCCAACGTTGAACCCAACTAGATCACATCGCTATCAGCTACCTATCGAGAGGCTCAATAAAAAACTGCTGCTCGTCCTGGAGTGCATGTTCAGATTCAGATCATCCTCTAGTGCGAGCGCGTATTCCTTTGCGTCTTACTCGACGTAGGCAAGACACCACAAGGAAATTCCGTGGGGTCCTAATTAATGATAGCAAGCCTAGAAACATATTTCAGGAGCGACTGGAAAAAGTCAGACAGCCATGTTAGTGATTCCCATCCCGAGGCAGCATAGACCGATATCCAAAAAACCGATAAAACAGCAGCAATATCTGCTTGTAAAGTAAATTATAAACTTAGAGAGAAACAGTGGATCTCAGTAGCATCTACCGAACTGATGGATGCTCGAAAACGCATCTGCTCTAGCTGTAAACATAATGAACAGCGGAGTTAACTGAAGCGCAGGTTGATGGAAAGTCTACGCAATGATAGTGAACATGTCAAAGTAAAGAAACAAGTCGGTTTACAATTCGTGTATCTGCAGAGTCTTCTGAATACCCTAAGCAAAAATACATGTTCGGGATGCTATTCTCCCCCTCGAAATGCAAAATGTTGCTTCAGGATTTGTTTGCATCGGCGCCTGGACTAATAATAGGGAGTGAAGTAGTTGAGCGCGTTGACCGCCTCACCTATCTTGGGAGTTTCAGCAGTGCTAATGGTCTGGTGATTGACGAAATATCGGCACGGATACAGAAGGCTCGATCGGCTTTTGTCAACTTGCGTCATTTATGGCGTAGGCGAGGTATCCGTCTACTAACCAAAGGACGAGTGTACTGTGCAGTAGTTTGCTCCGTCCTACTATGTGGCTGCGAAACATGGCCAGTAAGAGTAGAGGATATTCGTAGGTTACTGGTTTTCGATAATGGCTGTCTTCAAAGTATTGCTCGTACTTCGTGGGACAACCGAGTTAAGCAATGCTGTTGTTAGAAAACAAGTACTGGGCAAGAGTTGCAAATAAATTGACGAAGTAGTGAATCTTCATTACTTGAGGTGGTTAGGACATGTGCTTCATAGGTAGGGTAAGTTGGAGGTAACCTAGGGCTGCTAAACCAAATCAGCGCAAATCCAGAGGTCACTGACTACTGGACTAAGCCATGTTGGTAGGGTGTAGACTAACAGGTTGGGGTCCGCGAGACAATAGTAACCGATGATTAGAGATTTTGAATCACAAGGCTGAAAATCATTTGCAATACCGCAGATGCTTTCATTCTTTGTGTTCTCTGAAATTCCAATCTTCTGCATTCCACATCACCTGTATCTTTCTCTTTTCCAATTTATTTCACTGAATTTTACTTCTTTAATAATATATTCGAACCCTAATCTTCTCCATTACCGCTGATACTTCTACTGCTTCTACTATAATTAGATATGAATTGACAATTGTGTCTCAGCGCTAATGTGGTATAGCAACCCCAACTTATGCAAGTACGTACGATGTTCTACGTTGTAGCTGACTGACCTCTCAACATCTCTTATGCGTAGTTCTCACTGTATAGTATTCAGTCTGAATGTATGTCAGTAAAGCTATTAGTCAATAGTCTTCCCACAGGTATCGTGGTTGATTATATCCTGTGGTGGATTGTCTGCCTCACTCATATTCACATATATAATTTTTATATGAGGCACAATTACTGATACACACTCTATGTTTAGCAATGTACTTGATTAGTTCACTGAATTTAACAAACGACATGTACTAATTTTTTTTTGATTTGTCGTAACTCTTCGTCACATTTGCTCTTAATTTTTTTATCAATGTTTAATCGGACACTACAGAATGTTATGGAACAGTTGTTAAAGTCGATTGATGAAGCCAAAGATAGTAACCAAACGTTTATATTTGGGCATCATCCAACTTCCACAGTTGTTTCAAGTGATTTGGATTTACGTTCAGTGATTGGGTAGGTTATATATCATTTGAATTTAGGTTGTCAATATATAAATGGACCAAAATTAATCGTTTATATATTTTTTAAATTAGATCCGCTTGAAAAACATCGGAAAATGCATAGCTTTATGACATTCTCTCAGATCTTGATGATAAACACGCCGTTCCACATTGACCTTTCTAAGAAGCTGTTCATAAGCGATTTGTAGATAAATGTAATCACTTTCCGTTGCACTGGAAAAGTTGTTTTTATTAGATTTTCATAATTATAACAGTCGTAGACATGGTCATCTATTTTATTATTTATCAATTTTATAAGTAGTTTAATTATTTGGAATCCGGATGGAGTGTTGAACTCTAAAGTACAAGACTATTATTCTCCTACACATAAATATTTCGGTCATTATTTCACAGCTCAGTATTTTGAATAAACCTCTGTACATCTTAGAACTATTCAGGGCTGAAAGTATTTGGTTAGTTAAAAAGAGCAAAACTTTAAGAACTTTTCCGGGAAATTTGCACTATAAAGTGTTTCTTGTGGAAAATTCAGGTAATCCTAACTAGCTTTCCAAACAGCTTAAATCTTTATCAATTATTCTTCTTAGTAGATTCCTTTAGTAGAACCTAATAATCATGGGACTTGTTGCTGAGAGTTTTGTTGTTTTCATTAACATCTTCACGGAATTTCTAATTCAATCATGGTGTTACTTGTCCAATTGTTCAATGTTTTTCAGGTTCACTTTTAGTTTGGCATCTACGACGTGGTGAATCAAATCTACATTTCTCTTTCCTTTAGTCTTTAGTAATCAGTCAGTCATTTACAACGTAGAATTTCGTACCTACTTACATCAGTTCAAGTTATTATACCTCATTAACATAGAGATCGAACTGTCAATTCAAATACCATAGTAGTAGAGATAGAAGCATTATTAGCGGTAATCAGAAACATTAGTGGTCGAAAATATGATTCAGAAAGCATAATTTAGTACAATAAATGTAGACAGAGAAAAAGAAACGTCATAAACAATTCAGGAGATCAAAATTTGCGAGAACACAAAGAATGAAAGCATCTGCGGTATTGCAAATGATTTTCAGCCTTGTGATTCAAAATCTCTAATCATCGGTTACTATTGTCTCGCGGACCCCAACCTGTTAGTCTACACCCTACCAACATGGCTTAGTCCAGTAGTCAGTGACCTCTGGATTTGCGCTGATTTGGTTTAGCAGCCCTAGGTTACCTCCAACTTACCCTACCTATGAAGCACATGTCCTAACCACCTCAAGTAATGAAGATTCACTACTTCGTCAATTTATTTGCAACTCTTGCCCAGTACTTGTTTTCTAACAACAGCATTGCTTAACTCGGTTGTCCCACGAAGTACGAGCAATACTTTGAAGACAGCCATTATCGAAAACCAGTAACCTACGAATATCCTCTACTCTTACTGGCCATGTTTCGCAGCCACATAGTAGGACGGAGCAAACTACTGCACAGTACACTCGTCCTTTGGTTAGTAGACGGATACCTCGCCTACGCCATAAATGACGCAAGTTGACAAAAGCCGATCGAGCCTTCTGTATCCGTGCCGATATTTCGTCAATCACCAGACCATTAGCACTGCTGAAACTCCCAAGATAGGTGAGGCGGTCAACGCGCTCAACTACTTCACTCCCTATTATTAGTCCAGGCGCCGATGCAAACAAATCCTGAAGCAACATTTTGCATTTCGAGGGGGAGAATAGCATCCCGAACATGTATTTTTGCTTAGGGTATTCAGAAGACTGTATTTCTTCAGCGTCTTCACCAAATAGAACTATGTCCTCGGCATATTCTTAGTCGACAAATGAATCTCCTGGTAAAAGTCAGATAGTGAAAGTGTCATCTCTAAGGGCATGTTGGTGACAATGTTGAATGAGAATGGGGAAAGTGGACAACCCTGATAACCACCACTCGAAGTAATCAGTTACGATGACAGTTCACGATTAGCTCTCACTCGACCATTAGTGTTTGAGTAGACTGCCTGTATTGATACAAATGTGATTGACGCGGTTGTCTGCAGTTTGATCCCTTGAAACTCACACAGCTTTATTTATGCGATTGTAGAGAAAGCATATTGTTGAAGGTACGTAGGTTTCTCAAGTTTCCACTACTCTCATTCTTTTCTCCCAGTTTGTCTCCTTGGTATGTCTTCTGACCCAGTGTTTTCCATGCTCACTTTGAGGTTCATGTGGTTCGGTTTACTGATAGTTCCCTACAATTAACTGTTAACCGAACGCACCATTCTGATGGAAGACACGAATTTCATAAGACTGGTTTTTATCAGCCTCGCTGTTATCATTAGAGGAGGGCGTATAGCACTGGATGACATTCATTGTTATCCCGTCCTTCATTCTTTTGAAAAGTATTATGATGATGTTAGATCCATAAGATTCTTATTCTACAAGTGAATTTTTGTACTTTTTTGGCCCGTATTAATTTAAATGTTAAAATGTTCAGGGGCTTTTTGTGGTCCTGAGCTGCAAAAAACAACATCTTTCTCGAAGCAGTAGTTTTCTGTTCAGTTTGTGTTCAATAGATTTTACGGATTCTAAGCTGGATATATTGTATCTTCTCATTTTTGTGACTTTCAGTGATCCTGTCGGTGATTTTCAAAAGGGGCATCAGCCTCGTGACTTCCTAAGTTTTGCTGCTCTCATCATGAGGCGTCGTAACTCCTATATATGAAAACCCTCCAACTCTAAGGTTAAAGTTTCATTTTTACGATATTAGGTTACTTAAACTCTCTTCATTCACCCAGGCTTGGGACTGGAAGTAACGCTAGAAAGGTTCCAGGTATATATATAACCAATAACCGTCCAGTATATTCACATTATGGCTATCAACAAAATTTATGACTCCTTTTATCTTATGCGGTACTTTTCACACGAATACATGTACCTAAATACGGATGTTAATGTTCACTTTGAGACCGTAACTCTCTCTCAAGGCTAGCTCCTTATGGGTTCATATTATCCTGTTGTTGATATTTAGTACTATATTTCGATCATTTTGGTTAATATCAGTTTTGTTTACAGTGAGTTAATCTCTTCATTCTCAGGACTTTTGATTCCTAAGTTAAATAAATATATCTTTCCAGCGTTAATGCTGTTGTGCTCTTTTCGTAATGTATGTAAATACTGAAGTACTCTGAACTCTGTACTTCAAAATTATTTCCAATTATATTTACATTAGCAACAATTACAGACAGTTTGATCTTCAGTAATCTAAACTATGACAGTTTACACTCTAACCCTTACCTGTTTGCTCGCATTTTATTCTTTCTGTATTCGAAAAATTCAACAGCTATTCATTTGAATAACAAAATATAAGTAGTAGACACAGCAAACATAATTATGATGATTACGTTTTAAGTTTTGAGGTTAGTAGCTAATTCCTCTCACTTATCAATTGTTAGCAAATACTCAAACTGTGGTTTAATTGAATCTAGTTTTATGTTGAACTTCTGGTTCAGAATACAGTTTCTCATAAACGTCATGCTTATTTTCCTTATTTCAGAGATAGTGCATTTGCCTATTTGTGCGGTCATCTGCATACACTTCATGGAATGGCCAAAAATATGTATTTTTTACAGCCTCAAGGATTTTGGGAATGGGAATTAGGTGACTGGCGTGCGAGTCGTTAGTAAGCTATACTTTTTTTTCACTACTGCATTTGCCTTCAGTCTAGTTTTACATATTTGTATTCTGGGATTTCGAACTGTATAACTATATGTAATGTAAAAACCACTTACTAAGGCTATCAAAGAACTTAGTCATAAGTGTATGGTGAGAAGAGTTGTTTAGAGCAACAAAGCTTATGCATCAATACTTGGGCATAAACACAGGTTTCAACAGTACCGTTTTCTGGCGCATCCTGAATTTATACTGCCTAATCAAGTGATTTCAAGAAACTTAAATTATATGTAGGATGCCCACCGTCAGAAATAATGTGGTCAATATTGACATTATAGTCAGAATTTGTATTTCCACCTGTGGAAATCATTGTTCATCATTTGTATAAAGTCTAAATATGGAAATTTTGAGCAAAATGCTGATTGATGTAGCATTACTATAGCAGATTTTCTGTATTCTTACTGTTGTATTGTTTTTATACGTACACATTTTAACTGAGGTATTTCTTGATATATTTTAGCATCCTTCTTTCTCAATCAACGAAAGGTTCATCTTTCATAATGCTCAACTCTATTAGTTTCTCCTGAGTATGTTACTAGTCAACTGGTCACGTCACAACAATATGACATTTATTTAGATAATACGCTTATTAATTAACATAGATGGGTACTTACAGCTAAGTCTGATGATTACTTTCCTAAATTATTCAGGGTTGCACATGAATGAAAAGTTTCATTATAAAATGAAGCTTTAACTCAGTCTTAGCTAATATATGGTGCCTTTCCTACTGATACCAGTTTGTAATTTAACCCATCTGAATATTGAAGTTTCTCTACAGTAATTTTGTCGTTGAAACTTATATTTTTCTTCGTGTACTAATATTAGTAACCAGAAGTTTAGTGTACTTCTGATTTTGAAACCTAACCTCTCTTAGTCGAGGATGTCAGGAGACTCTTTTTGTTTCTCTGTCTTTGTCCTCAAAGGGTTGCTGACTTTCAGTAACAACACCATGTTAGTAATGCAGATCTTTGGCAGTGTTTGTTTGGGCACAATAATGATAGTTCGATTAGTGTCATTATCTTGAAACACCGACTTTGGTTGCTTCGACGTGTATTAACAAATGTCATCCCAGCGAATTCCACATCGTATATTATTTACTAACGCTGAGACCGGTTAGAAAGAACAGTATCGATTATTGTACGTTTTATGGTGTGTGTGCATGCTTATTGGCTTATTACATGTCTAGCCTATCATTGTTTGGCTATAAATACTTAGTCATTCTTCAGCATACAAAAAGTTGGCTCCCTCGCCTTCTCCCATTCGCTTCGCTTTGTTTGTACGCTTTTCATTCTTATGTCCATCTACATAGATGAATGCATGAAATAAATCAATCCGCAACACCGCATTTGGCTTCTTAGTACCGCCGTCGCACAAACGGGGTTTGCCTAAGTATGATATACGAAAATGGACAGGAAGATTTATTTCACTATACACTCGATCATTTGTCCACAATGGAATCCAGTCGTGAGCCGCTAAAGGGCGTCCATTCTTGTCATGTCTGACTCCAATTCTTGACGTAATGTGTTCTTCGGCCTTCCTCTTTTCATCTGGCCTTGAGGATTCCAAGTGAGGGCTTGCCTTGTGACGTAGTTGGATGCTTTCCTCAATATATGTCCTATCTACTTCCAGCACTTCTTCCTGATTTCTTTCTCCAATGAAATCTGGTTTGTTCTATCTGATAGTAAGTTGTTGCTGATGTGTCTGGCCGATGGATCCGAAGTATTTTGTGTAGACAGCTTCTAATAAACACTTGTATCTTCCTGATGGTGGCCTTCGTGGTTCTCCAATTTTCCGTTCCATGCGATGGAACTGTCTTGACATTTGTGTTGAAAATTTGGACTTTGGTGTTGGTTAATATTTGTTTTGAGCTCCTAGATATTCTTCAGTTGTAGAAATTCTGTCCTTGTTTGCCAATCCGTACATTCACATCTGCATCAGATCCACCTTGCTCGTCGACAATGCTTTCCAGATATGTAAATGTTGCTGCGTCCTCCCAAACTTCCCCATGAAGTGTGATTTGGTTGATACGTATTGTTTTGCATCAAAAAGTCTTACTTTTTCCTTTTTGTATGTTGAAACCCATTGCTTCTGAGGCTGCCCCTACACTGATCGTCATGTAGCAATAATATTAGTAATAATAACAGTAATATTCATGTAGATAGTGAGTTTTCGTGTCTTTTTAAACTGATTTCCAGCTACCGAATTGTAGCCGTTGATAATGATTTAGTTTCGTTTGTGGATGTGACGAAATCCTCACCTAATGGTTCAAACGGAGAATGGCCAATTGTTCTAATCACAAATCCTAAAAATGCCAACTTTGTACTCCAAAAAAAAGAACCATTTCACAGGATCGAGTTTTCTACGCACATAAGGTAATTAATATTGTTTTTTAAAAATTTAATTACACTGCATCGTCTTTCATTGATGCATGTACTGTATACCTCTGAAATACAGTGTATTTATAACAATTTATTAGGTATCTATTTACTTCTTATGGGATTCGTCCTAGATTTTACTGATGAACTTAATTGGTTAGGTAGCTATTTAACGAATGTTCCCGTGTTACATCTCTAGTGTATAGTTATGTGCTACAGTATTTGTAACGATGGTTTGACACATTTTATGCATATTCTGTTCCTTTTTTAAGTCCATTCATTAAGGGTATTTACTGGTATCTCATGTTTTAGTAAACTTAAATTATCTCTGATTTTTGATTGTCTCCTTTTGAGTACGAGATGTTATAATCATTTTGTGTTTTGGTAGACTAGATGATTTTGTCTATCTGGGTCGACTGAATAGTATTGTAAAGTGGTAAACTATTTTTATAAGCTTATTTGGATATATCTATGAGACAAATACAAATTTGAAAAGAAAGACAATGTGTAACAGTATAAAGCTCGAATAGTATGAGATAGAAACGCAAGCTCACCTTCCTGTTCAGATGTAAATGAACTAAATATTACACTTGAGTAACTCATTGATCAAGTATAGGATTTGAGTTAATCATTTCGTGTGAGCATTAAAAAAGTGATTATAAAGTGTAAAAAACTAAATACGTGCTTATGAAAGTTCTGTATTTTAGTGTTAACTGGACTATGGTTTGGTTTGGGCGTCCGATTGTGCAGGCTATGGTTTGAACAGGTTGTAGTGCAGGAGGGACTACCGTAGACCAAAATAATTATTCCTATAAAGCTTAGTTTCTGATGTTGATATGGCGGACTGTTAGGAAGATCATATGCTCGTCGGGGTAGTGCATCTTTTCTGTTGAAAAAATGACGAGGATAGTTACAATGTCTTACACATTCTGTAAATAATAATTTTGGGCTCAAACATGGGATATATTAGTTTCATGTAGTCTACCTAGCATTACCTCTAGGTTTGCTTGTTTTATGGTTGTGGTGGATGCTTTGCGTGTCAGTTGCGTAAGGTATATTTCGTTGATTTAGACAGTGGCTTTTCGAAGTTACATATTGTTGGCTTTTTATCTGACCTGGCTAGTCCATTTTTTGGATGAGCCCTTATAATATTTTTGATCTTGAAATTCGATTTCATATCGTTTAAACGTTTCAATCTTAACAATGTTTCGAAGGCTTTCTCATTAATACTAGAAGTTTGAGTTTATGCTTCTACTGTTCTGTTGGGAGATATCAAATCGTAAGGCATTAGATTAATGTAGACATTCAGCATAAATTGGTTATCATAAGTCGCGACAAGCTTATGTAAATTTTGTCTCCAATAAGCATCCTTCATTGATAAATTAGTTCATAGACTGGCAGTTATTATGATAGTCGCACGAGTGGTGAGATTTCGCGTAAGTCCTTGATTGATGGTCTTATCTGAAACCATACATGCATTTCTTAACATGGTAACTGTTATGACTCCTTCAGTTGTTCAGCTGCTCAATGTTAGTCAAATCTAAGGAATAGGCGATATAAATATATCCGGTGCTTTTTATTAAGGTGGATACATTGGTACGAACTATCGTGAAAGTTAGCTGTTTTTAGTATCGAATGCTTTGCTGATTCAAATGGGATTTTCTTAAATATATCATAGATTATCACATTATTTTCAGTGATTACTCTTTTAATAACTTCGCTTGCAATAAAATTGATTGCATATGTGGTTGTAATGATTTTTTCAAGATCGACAGGAGCCACGTCCTTAAACATTAATAGCTTAAGAATTGATAAATCCTTTATTTCTTGCTTACGATCAGCATAGTTGTGTGCCTGAAATATGCAAATCGAAGAATATTTTTAAGTGTCGATTTAATAATCTGATCACTTATCTTTCACCAACCAATATATGTAAGTGTAAAGTTCATTCCCTAATGTAAGTAAATAATATGATCTTTAATCGACAAAATATACATGAATTTGAATTATTACAAGTTGTTTGAATTTTGAACCTCAAATATTTTACTGTTTAAATTATAGAAACTGAAATTTTCAAAGTATCAAACGTAAAATTATATCTGTAGTTTTATTTTTTTTTCCGTAAAAAACACACTAAATCATATATCATACATTATATATATTACTTTGATAAGTAAAACAAATATGCAGTCAGTATTTTAGAATATAATTGAAATGAACTTTTGAAAAAATTAGAAATGAAAGAATGTATAAAGTTTCTAATAATATTGATAAGTTACTTGATGTTCTTTAACTGTGTAAGTTACTAAAATAATAAAAACATACTAGGTATTCATCGGGCTTATGAAACTTTATTGAAATGTGTTATAAGTTTGTAAATGTTGCTTGATCGAATCAATCCTTTTTACAATTTATAATTGCTCGATTTGTGATTGAACATCATTTCATCCTTTCTGAGTAAGCAAACAAATTTCAAGGACTACTTTTAGAATTGTTCTTTTTTCTTAAATATAAGAAAATTCTGAACAGTTAGAAGGGCTGAATAAAATGATTTCAGTAGTGACTATTCATTTTTTTTTAATATCTGCCTCGAATATCCGTTACAATCTGTTCTTTTGACTTGTGATGCCGTTTGGCGATTTCCGCTATGAGTGTTTTATCCACCTCTAATGTTCGTCTTCAGCTGGAAGCTGATTTGTTCTGTCACAGTAATTTGTTACTGATAGTGTTCAGCCAATGTATCTGGAGTATTTTGCGTCTATAAATACTCGTATCTTTTGAATGGTGATTTTGGTAGTTCTCCAAGTTTCAGCTCCACACGGTAGAACTATCTGGACATTTGTATTGAAAATCCTAACTTTGATATTATCTGAAATTTGTTTTGAGTTCCGGATATTCTGCAATGACTACTTTAGTGTTTTAACGCTTCCCAAGATTGTCATTTCTTCAATCAGAATAAGTTTAAGTCTGAAGACTGTCTGATCTTTCAGCATTCTGTTTAGAAATATTATAATTATTAAACACCAAATTATTTTTTATTCAACAGGTAAATCAAACGGAATCACTTTTTACTAAAAGATTTTTGATGGCATGTGTTAGTTTATTAATGTTTTGTTAAGAAAAACTATTTGTTCGGTTTAAGAAATATGCAATTTTGATTGTGTTGGTTGGTATTTTTATTAGAATCCTAGTTTGGTCATTGTCACCTATTCTAAGAGTTTCTGTATCGATCGACGGTATTCATCAAGGATTCGCTCAACCTGCTAATTCACTTGAAAGTGGTAGTTCAACACCTTTATATGTACTTCCATGGAATACATCACATTGGTTAAGCGATCCGTATTCATTTCATGTGATTGAAGTCACAGCTCGGGTGAGTGAAATGGTTACCATTTTTTTAAACTAAACTTTCATATTTAGTATGTCATTGTTAAATGATGGCTATTGTTGGAAGTCAAAAGTTTGAAAAACTTGTTTGAGAATATACTTATTGGGATGTAAACTCTTGGATAGTGAGCAACCATAAAGTAGTTGAAGAAAATTTTTTAAGAAAATAGGTTCGTGTGTAGTGTGCTATCTTCATTATAATAGTAGTAAAAATCTATATAATTATGCTCTTAACAAAACTAGGAATTTAAAAATCATGGGAACACTAAGTTTAAGATCGATACACTCAAACGATATAATTAATTTCATTCTATAATTGATTGAGGTTATAAATGTCATGTGCACTAATCAATTATCTATCGTAATGCTATCGTGAAAGTTTTGTATGAATTATGGGAATGTTTCCACAGACTTGTCTACTGTAGACTATTTGAGTTTGATTACTTTTTATTTGAGTGTTTGCTTACTTTCACCTCATATTTATTTTAAGGATGCCAGCGATAATCAACGTACAGTTATTCAATCTTTCAGTTTTCGGAATCATGCTGTTTTCCCTATTGGGCTCTTATCGAAATTTATGGTTGCCACTAATTTTCCAGTGATTGTAAGTTTATTGTCATTTATAATTATAGTAAAACAAATTAATTCTTGTTAAATTTGGGTAGTTTTAGTAACTTTACTATGTCAAATAAAATGTAACTCCTCAGTATACTGTATACTTGACGAAGCAAGATTATCTTTTCATTATCTACAGCCGTTACAACCAATCCGAGCCATTATCAATTATAAACCTCCTGTCGGTTAAGCAATCTCCAAGATTCATGATACCCCAGTTAGTAATCTCTTTGGATTCCCTGAATCCTGGGTCAGTCACTTTCAAAAGGGTTCAACTACATTTTCACTGCAGTAACTTCGACTGCATTGTACTCATTGGCTGATAGCTAATTAATTAATTCCCTCAGTTATGTGAAAATCAACGAAAAAAACTGTAGAAAACTGTAGTCTTCCCATTCGTCGAGTTCACTATCGACGGAACTACAAAGAATACTTCCAAAGAAGTACTTGGTAACAATCGTGTGGATCTTCTACCTAAAACCGACATTTTGGCTTCAGGTTTACAGATGAGATTTTCTTACTATGTAATAATATATTAGCTACTTAAATCTCATTAAATCATTTGTTACAGTGCTCTCGAATACGTCATGTGTTTCACAAATCATCCATTAATACATTCTTTTTCTTTACTTGTGGACTGCACGGTTCTTTTTCCGCACCAGCTTATCAATTTGTGCCGTATGATGTTCTAACCTTCCTTATATACTATCACTAAAACAGTAATAAATTTGTTTTGTTTTTTTTTCAAATTTAACTAATCATAAATAGACTAAAACTGCTTAACATTAGTTATCCCAAACTGTTTTGATACTGTGACTGTGGAATTTTCAATGCAGTCGATCCATTTTTTGGGTTACTGTATATTTTTGACTAGGCTGAAAAAGGTAGGCCAAAACGTGGGCCATCCTAAGGAAACCTCAATTTCTTGAACTACAATTTAACGAATGAGTGGACATCTCCCTGCATAGTTTGAAGAGGGCCAGATAAAAAAATACGCAGCTAAATCTGAGTACACCTATTTGATATCGATAAAACGAAATCGTTTCCAGTGATCTATTGTATGCATCAATCGATTCCCAAAGAAGTTCGATTCCGAGCAATGTTTGACCTACTTTTTCTAGTGTTAAACTACTGACGAAAACTTTTGTTATTTTATTTTATTATTCTTACCATTAATAGTACACCTAATATACGTAGTTACGTAATCTATTTAATTGAGTTTATTGACTTAAATATCCTTGATTAATTTATCGTTTCATGTATATTAAAGTTTGGTGACCATCTAATTGAAAACAATATTGTTTACTTATGTGTGTTTTTCTATCTATCATTCTATATTGTGGATTCTTTCACTGTATTCATTCTATAGAAACTACCCTTATGTTTGATTTTAGCCTTTCACCCCCAACGGTGCATAGGCCGCCGACCGGTGTTCTCCAACCTACTCTGTCCTTGGCTTCCCTTTTCAAATTTTGTCCAATTTTAGTTCATTCTTCTCATGCCTTTCTCCATCTATCGACGTAATGTGTTTCTCGGTCTTCCTCTTTTGCTTTGGCCTTGAGGGTTCCAAGTGAGGGCTTGTCTTGTGACTCAGTTGGGTACTTTCCACAATATGCGTCCTATCCACTTCCAGCACTTCTTCCTGATCTCCACCTCCGCTGGAATCTGGTTTGTTCTTTCTCACAGCAGATTGTTGCTGATGTGCCTGGCCAACGAATCCGAAGTATTTTGCGTAGACGACTGTTGATAAACACTTGTATCTTCTGGATGATGGCTTTCTTAGTTCCTCAAGTTTCCGCTTCATACAGTAGAACTGTCTTGACATTTGTATTGAAAATTTTGATTTTTGTGTTGATTGATATTTGTTTGGAGTTCCAGATATTTTTCAGTTGTAGAAATGCATCCCTTGCTTTGCCAATCCGCGCCCTCACATCTACATCGGATCCACCTTGGTTGTCGATGATGCTGCCCAGATATGTAAAGGTGTTAACGTCCTCCAAGGCGTGTCCATCAAGAGTGATTTGGTTGGTGCATGTTGTGTTGCATCGAAGAATTTTGCTTTTGCCTTTATGTATGTTGAGACCTACTGCTGCTGAGGCTGCTGCTACACTGGTCGTCTTCTCTTGCATTTGTTGTTGCGTGTGCGATAGAAGAGCCAGGTCATCTGTGAAGTCCAGATCGTCCAGCTGCGTCCTTACTGTCCAGTTGATACCGTGCTTCCCTCCAGATGTTGACGTCTTCATAATCCAGTCGATGACCAGGAGAAAGAGAAAGGGTGAGAGTAAGCAACCTTGCATCACACCGGTCTTCACCTCGAAAGAGTCTGTTAGCTGTCCTCCGTGCACGATTTTGCAGTTGAATCCATCATAAGAATTCCGTATGATGTTAACTGTTTTCTCAGGCACCCGTAGTGTCGAAGAAGCCTCCACAGTGTTTTCCTATCCACGCTATCGAATGCTTTCTCGTAGTCGATGAAGTTGATGTAGAGTGATGAGTTCCATTCAATTGATTGTTCCACAATGATCTGTAATGTAGCAATTTGGTCAGTACACAATCGATCCTTACGAAATCCAACCTGTTGATCTCGAATTTGAACGTCCACGAAGTCCTTCATTTTGTTTAACAGTAACCTGTCGAAGACTTTACCGGGTATTGAGAGAAGAGTGATGCCTCTGTAGTTCTCGAACTTGCTGAGATCGCCTTTCTTCGGTATTTCGATCAGGTATTCTTCTTTCCATTTTGTTGGTACTTGTTCTTCATCCTAAATCTTTTTAAAGGGAATGTGGAGCATCTTTACTGTTGCTTTCATGTCTGCTTTCGTTGCCTCAGCTGCAATGTTGTTTGGTCCTGCTGCTTTGCCGCTCTTGATATGTCTGATGGCCATGCTGATCTCTTCAATTGTTGATGGGCTAACATTGGTAGGTCCGTAGATGCTGCTTCGATGTTGGGTGTGTTCAGTGAAGCTGGTCGATTCAAGAGTTCCTTAAAGTGCTCTACCCACCTATTTCGCTGTTGTTCAGTGTTGCTGATTACTTTGCCTTCCTTACTTTTCACTAGTCGTTCTTGTTTACGATAGTTTTCAGCGAGCTTATTTGTTGTATCATACAATTGTCTTAACTTTCCTTCTCTTGCAGCCTTTTCCGCCGTCATTGCTAGATCTTCCACATATTTTCGTTTGTCAGCTCTGATGCTCTTCCTCACTTTCCTGTTTGCTTCTGTGTATTCAGCTTGTGTGTTAACTTTCTCTGCTCTTGTTAGGCTGACCTTGATTGCTGCGTTCTTGTTCTTGCTTTCTTCAATTTTTGCAAGAGTAACAACGGACATCCAGTCCTTGTGATGGTACTTCTTGTAAACCAGAACCTCCTGACATTATGAAGTGATTGCCTCCTTGATCCTTTTCCGATTGCTCTGCATGGTTGTTTCCTGTCCATTGAGTAGACCGTGCATGTCCTGGAGCCTATTAATGAGGTCTACCGTGAATTCGTTGAGTTTGCCAGTATCCTGAAGAAAGACCGTGTTAAACGTCTGTGACGTCCGTCCCGTTTTCAGGTGTTTCTTGAGTTTCAGCTTCATCTTAATGACCAGCTAGTGGTAATCTGAGGCTATATCAGCTCTTCTGTTGCTTCTCACGTCCTCCATCACCCTTTTTATTGATGCAGATGTGACGGGTTCGGTTCGTTATAGTGTGATCCGGTGATACCCATGTAGGTTTTGTGTATGCGTTTGTGTGGGGATATTGTACCACAAATGACCAGTTTGTTGAAGGCACAAAGGTTTGCTAATCTCTCGTCATTTTCGTCCCTTTCTCTCAGTGCATGTCGTCCAACGATGTCTTCAAATCCAGTATTATCCATGCCGACCTTGTTATGGCATCGGCTTCGTGACTTCCGAAGGAACTCGGCTTTCATTGTGAGACGTCATAACTCTCCTGAACGAAGATTTTCTAACTCCTAAGGTGGAGTTAAAATGGTGTAGATTGATTTTTCTGTTTAACATTGTGTTTAGCAAGTTAGTTTTTTTTATCAGATGGGGTCGCCAACACTATGCCGAACACTCCTCCTTTACCCGAGCTTTGGACCGGCAGTAGCCCCAGAGGGGCTGCGGGCAGAGTTCGGAAATGTAATTCTTTCGTCTTTTTTGTCTTTCATCTTGTTGATTTCTTCTCACTCGTTGAAAACGAAACAAGTATTCAGTATAATTCTTGTTATTTTTCCAGATTTCTGCGTTATACTATACTATATGGTTGACAATATTCACGTTTGTAGTATCGCCCTTTTTCATTCGTCGTCCAACCTTACGTAAGTTCGTTTTCTATATTTATTAAGTACGTGATAATGAAACACCACAAGCATTTTAAAATTGTAAAAGCACATTCCCAACTATGCTTCTCGGATTACCAATTAAGATAGCCAAATTTCAGCTATTACGTTTCAAATGCACTTCCGTGTATTTCGGCCTAGTCAGTCGTATAGTGTTGCTGATTTTCAAATACAGATTAGTTTATCCAGATTTCTATTGGGTCACTAAACTAAAATAACCTAATAGTCAAAATAATAAAATGTTGCTTATTTTAATGTTCTACATTGTTAATTTGTTAATTTGTCTATTTTAATTAATTGATAGGTTGTCAGAGAGTTTGGATTGTTTTTGATCTACTGCTATGTAGTTGTCGTCAAGTTTAGTTAAATAATCCAATTCTTGTTATATTCCTTAATGACTATTAATAAGCATTAAATTATTAGACTTTGTACTGAAGAATTATGAGTCTATGCTTTGCTAATGCTAAGATACTGTTAAGATTAATTTTCAGCATGAACCGATGTCAGTCGAAATCATGAATCAGTAAATAACTGTTTCGCTTTAGTACATGGTTTCTATGCTATTTTCACCCTAAAGCTGTTCAAGAGATTGAGTCTGTGGTTATCACAGCTAGACTGGTAGCTTTAACCCGATATTGATTCATGATGGAAACCATTGTTATTGGATTTAGAAGTTAGTCATGTGGCATTCAATCAATGAATCCGGTTAGACTGGTGTCTATTTAAAACTGTTACACATTTCTTCTACAGTTTTGGACATTTAAACTGTTTGTAAATAGAATAATAAGCAACCATCTTTGTGTTGCATCGCAGTATCGTCTTTGTTGTTATAAAATATGCCATATATATATATATATATATATATATATATATATATATATATTCAACAAGTTACAACATAGAACTGCGTGCGTACTCACATCGTTTCAAGTTGCCACTCCACATTAGCTTAGAGACGCAATTGTCAATTCAAATCCCGTAATAGTAGAGAAAGTAGACGTATCAGCGGTAATGGAGAAGATTACGGTACGAAGATATTATTCAAGTAGTATAACTCAGTGTGATAAACTTGGAAAGAGAAAGATAGAGGTGATGAGGAATTCAGGTTAGGATTTGACAGAACACAGAGAGTGGATGCACCTGCGCCATAGCAAACGATTTTGAGCCATATCATTCAAGATCTCTAACCAACGATTACTATCATCTCACGGGCCCCAACCAGTTAGTTTACACTTACCAACATAATTCATTTCAGTTGTCAGTGACTAATCCTACATCGCGAAGCATAGCTCGTCGAGGTAGTCGGTGGTTAGGCATACGCAACGCATGTCCCAACCACCTCAACTGATGAAGTTTTACTACTTCATCTGTTGATCTGCCACCCTTACCTAGCTCCCGTTTCCTAACAACAGCATTGCTTACTAGGTTGTCCCATGATACACGAGCAATGCTTCGAAGACACCTATGAATGAAAACCAGCAACCTACGAATATCTTCTACTCTTACCGGTCATGTCTTGCACCCATGAAGTAGGACGCAGCGAACTGATGTGTAGTAGACTCGTCTTTTAGTTAGCGAACGGATATCTCGCCTACGCCATAAGTGACGCAAGTTGTCAGACACCAATTGAACCAGTTGAAGTAATCAATTCCGATGACAGATCGCCATAAGCTCTCAGTCGACCAGTAGTGTTCGAGTACAGAGCTTGTATAAGGTTAATGTACTGCTCTGATACACCTTTTAATGACAGGCACTTCCACAGAACCTCACAATCAACAGTCAAAATCCGCTTCAAGGTCGAGAAATATTACTATTGTAGAACGTCTGGACCAGTGTTTATGTTCTAGTTCCTGACTTATATTTACTAAACTATACTTAGCCGCAAAATAATGTTTGATAGAGTATTAATAAAATACCTTTAACATTTATTAGTTAATTGAATATTCGGCTTCTATTTTATTATTTAGTTTTACGTCTGTTTCGTACAAGACTTTGTAGCGGTATGTATCGAATATCTTCAACCAAGAAACTATTATTTCCTATCTTACTGTTCATGGTGTATCAAATTTCATGTAAGTTTCAGACTGCAATTAATTTCTGGTTTACTATTGCAATTTCCTTAGAAACACTAAAATTTAAAAACCCTATCAGATTTATGTGCAATCGTTCCAAAAATAGAAAGACTCACTGGCTCTTGTACAATTTATTCAAATTTATGCGCCACAGCAGTGTTTTTCATTGAAATTCAACAAAAGTATAGTTTAACTGATTTATGTTTTGTAGTTTTTTGATATTGCATTGTTCAGTAGAGCTTTCATTGATGTAGGTCATTGGTGCACAAGTGTGACGTGATAGAAAATGTAACCTGTTGTCTTGATTGACCTCAATCGATCGTGTTATGCAATTTTATCAGTGTTTTGATGGCACAAATGTTGTATCGCCTTGTTTAAATGATATAAATTCTTTGGTATTGTAGATTTTGAATTATGAATATGAGTTTAATATTTCTTGTCAGAGTGTGATTTCTCTGTAGATTGTTAAAAAGTTACACCCTACTTTATTTGTGTTTTTTCTGTAACACAGAATTATTGATTTAATAGTGTTTAGAACATTAACTACATTTTACACTTGTAAATATAATACCTATCTTAAATTTCTTTTCCTCTCTATTTAAAGGTCCACTTTTCATAGGTTATTTAGTAGCTGATAAACTTGGCTGTTTTTTTTCATTCGGTATTTATATTGACGGTACTTATATTCCAGAAAAACTGACTTATGTGTTTGCAGCAGCCCAGGTAAATTATATATATATTATATTTGCTGGGTACTCTATTACCACTCAACTTTATATTTTATAAACCATACTGTTAGCTGGACATCGATTGAATTAAAGCATGATTACGTTGTTGCACGTTGACTGGCTCCTTCGTATCCAGTCAGCGCTAGCCGATACTGAGGGGAAGATTCTAGAATCTTCTCATTAAAAAAAACCCTAAATATACTAACGTCTTTTTCCTTTGAACCTTTTATCTTCCATTTAACCTTGTTATTGGAATATACTCTATTTTCCTGTGCAACGGTGTTCTGTCTGGGAGAACATCTCGAGTGAATTGGCGTCCGAGAGTACTAAGCAATAGGAATAGCTGGGTTTGTGATAAAGAGAGAATTGTGACACAGACGATAGTCAATATAAACGAACTCAAATGTGCTAAAATTAATGAAAAATTATTTTTTTCCAAATAAAACTGTATTTGTAACAACCCAATTAGTAAGAAATCGAATCTATGAGAATTTGTAACTTCCTTAGACAATAAATAACCGAATTAAATTAACACAGGTTCCGACAGTATATAGAAACAACTAAGATACATAGTACACTCTGGAAAAAGTCTAATTTGGTCGATATCATGTTATGTTGATAAATATGAATGATTATGAATAAAATGTGTTAGTCTATTTGTATATTTGCTCAGTAATAAATTAAAATGAGCTAGCATCCAAAAGGTATAATTGAAAGTCGAGTACATAATTGTTAAATTACATTGATCATCTGTTTATTGGAAATGTTTAGAAGAATTAGTTGTTTAAAGTCTATTTTGATTTTCAACTTTAAAAATATAATCACGTAATTATTTTTATTCCCTAATAAATTATTTTTAATCCTATTTTTACAGTTACTTGTGTTTGGACTATATTTATTATTGTGTGCTTATTATTATGGTTATCGACAATATGATACAGTTTATCCATTGAATGATAAAGAACCGACGAAACAATATGCAAATAAAATTCATTTACCGAAACTTTATTCTTCACCTTTATTAATTGCATTAATTATTTATGTATCATGTCAGTTAGTGTCTAATTTAATTTTGGTTTGGTTACCTTTTGGTTTTGTAGCGGCACTTTTAAGTCCAGGGCTAATAATGCCTGCATGTGTTGCATGTATTTTATTTATTTATTGTCCACGACCTAATCATCCGAAATACTGTGTTCAATAAATGTTCATTTCTTTTTTTTGTATGATATAAATGTTGATTTGATTTGATAGAACAATGAATCTAATTCCTTTATTTTTTTTTCCTTTATTCTCACTGATTGATTGATTGTATTTCATTGTTTTCTTGATTGTCAAATAAATTTTTTTTTAAAAATACGTATGTTTTGTTTGTTTATTGTATTATTCGATTATATCCATTCGGCGTAATTTATTGTCAATAAAAATTAATTACGTGAATACAAAAAATCGGAGAGTAAGTAACATAATTTGATTGAAAGAAATATAATGACTTACAAGTGAGCAAGTTAATTGTATTGTTCATCATGTAATTTAACGAATAAAACTAAAAATTTAAAACTGTCGAGTTACAATCAAGAACTACGCATTCACTTTGATGTAAGTAGTAAAAGTGGCATCGCCAGCCATCACAAACATGTTTAGCTCAAATCCAAGTCCATGGATCTGTTCTCGTTGCAATGGGTTATAACATATTGGTCAATTTATTTGTATCACTCAACAAATGTGATATACTGTCATACAGTATCTTACTCAGCTGTTCAATTTTAACTTAGAACCTCATTGTATATGATTTACCTTTCCTAATAATCTGACTATCTAATTCGCTTAACATCTCTCACTAACTGCGTATTTTGGAAATCATACCAAACATTTGTATTCAGTTGCCTGATTATGAAGTTAATAACTTTTCATTCTTACTTGACGAAATTTTATGATTGACCGGCTACTTATCCGTTTCTTCAGATGTTTTACATCGTTGAGTTTGAAACTTATTAATGTCTTAGTGAAAAGACTTGAATTGACCTTACACCGCCTTTTTAATGCTGATATTACTCTTTACTTTAAAACTTGTATATTAGCATAGATATTCAATGAGAAACTAATTACAAAGGAATATTTCTCTGATAAGCCTGTGTTTTTAATGTCTGAATAGAAATACTGAATACGCTGAAATCTATAGGCTCTAAAAAATAATTTTATTGAGCGCATATAAGATTTCGAACGTGTATTCGTCAACAGGCTACGGTTTCCGTTTAGTTCTATTGTTTGTTCACTCATTATACATATGACCATATATTTTATTTCATAGTCATTATGTAGAAATCTAAAAAATGGCGTGAGATTTTGTTCTGCTTATTATACACTAACATGAAAATACTGAATACTTGCATTCAAGCAAAATGTTCAGATACAAGGTGAAGGACGAATATCTCAGACTGCTAGCTCACAACAATAAAGTGGTCGTAGTTTGATGTTAAACAAAAGAATTTTCAATCATTAGTATTTCTAATTGCTAACATTATTGAGCGTAGATATATTAACAAATTGAAAACCGAAAGGATATGGATGTTTGATTCAGAGGATGAGCAAAAAGTTTGATGATGTGAAAAGTACGATTAATTAAATTACAATGATGATTCATCTTCTACAATCACTTGAAGTGAGATGTGTTCAGAACTAAAATTTAAGTATGGATTTTTCGACAAACTCAACAAAGCTGAAGACAACAAACACCATCTCTTATTGACACTGTTTTATTTTGATCACTTTACGTTTTGTTACACAGTTTTGAAGCTATCAAAATTTGATTGGCTGTAAACTAAAGCTTTTATTACAACTTTCGTCGAAACTCAAATTTTGCTGCTTTTTGCATTTAACAAGTCCACTCGCAATTTTTGCCAGCCTAAAAGTCCAATATTGAAAATCTTTCATCCAGAAGAAGGGTCTGGTCGGCTAATGGGCGATTGTAGGGCGGAAGGGTTGACGAACATGAAGCTCGAGTTGCCGTCAAAAGTCTTTTACGTTGAACAGTACCAATAGTGACGTGCCAAGTTTGGTGATCGGATTCGCATGCCACACCAGCGTGGCTCGTGTCCAGAGTCTGAAGATTACATTCGTAAGGGTTCGAACCAGAAAAAGCTTCAAACGTAGGACGGAACCAGATTGAGAGAGGGAGCCAGAACGACCAAGTTCGAATCAATAGGTATGCCAGATACATTCGGAACTAGAACATTGACTGAGTGCATTGACAAAAGTGTGGATGATCAAGCCAGCTTTCACCAAGATTGACTGAATTCGACAGTACCAACAGGCGATGGTCGTAGACATGGGCTCACGATACAAAATGAAAGAGAGAGGAAAGTGTAGCATACATGTAGTAAGAGGATAGTGTACTATCACGTATCCGTTGTTGCATGGGTGGTTATTCGAGAAAACGTACAGGAAGGCGTACTCGGCGACCGGAACGCGAGATGGTAACCGCGTGCGTAGCTCGTGAGTCTGTGATATCATCCGAAGTCAAGGGCGGGGTGGTCATCTGATCTGGACTTGGGACCGGAATCTCGTCCGTAAATAGTGCAGATGACTCGTGCTGTTGACTGGGGCGTAAGAATGAGGTCTCTGATTTGTCTAGCGTGGGACCCAAAGTAGCTTTAAGGATCCCGCTAGTAGGTTTGATAGCTCTTGCATTGGGTCTCGAATTAGCAAGTGGGGCACTGTCATCGACGTGTGCTGGCTTGAGACTGTCATTGCTGACGGTCTCAACGCGGCAGCCATATCGAGCAACTTTGAAGGTCTTTTCATGACGAGAAACCACGTGAAATGGTCCTTCAAAGGTTTGCGTATGGAATAGACTCGTATAAAAACATGCGAACAGGTAGATAACTCTCGAGGGAGGGCAACCTGTCGGTGTTGTACTCGAGTTGCTCGTATAAATTCAGACAATCGTTGGACGTAGTCTGGTTCACTGAAGTTATCACTGCTCCGTAGTGTGAAAAATTCCCCAGGCAGACGCAACGTCGTGCTGTATACCAATTCAGAGGCGGAACACCGAATATCTTTTAGCTAGTTCCGATACCTAGGAGGACGAGCAGTAAGGTTGCGCACCAATTGTTGTTTTCTTGTGCTCGACGAGCACTTTAAAGTTGGCGATCAAACTGTTCAACTAAACCATTCGAAGCTGGGTGGTAGTGCATATACGCTCCGTACCAAGCAGCCGGGTTAGCGAGGAGAATAATTCGGACTTGAACTGTTGTCCTCGGTCAGTTGTGACGGTCGAGGGACAACCGTAATGCGCTACCCATCGTTCTACGAAGCGGTGAGTAACTACGTTCTCCGTAATAAAAGTGATGGGAATAGCTTCGGGTCGTCTTGTGAAACGATTGAATGCACGTGAGTGTGTGATTATACTCATGAGACGGTGGCAATGGTCCTAAAATGTAACTATGAACATGATCGAAGCGAGCATCAGGCGTAGCAAATGTGCCGATAGGGGATGCTACGTGCCTGTGCACTTTTTATCGTTGACATTGTAAGCATTGCTTTACCCACATACGGACATCTTTATTCATGGAAGATCAGACGTATCTTGCAGCGATGAGACGTAATGTAGGTGCAATACCTGGATGAGACAATCCATAAAGGGCATCGAAGACGATACGACGATGAGCAGAAGGTGCAATGGGTGGGGATAAACCAGTAGAATTGTCACTCAGGATAGTACCTGAGGTGGTAGCTAGTGGTACTGTCACTGAAGGGATGTGGATTGTTGTGCTTCTGTACAGGAGGGATCATTTTCTTGGGCAGCGGCCATAGCAGGAAGATCAGTCACCGGTAAAGTAACTGCATTCACAGAGCAGAACATCGATAACATAGTTCGACTCGCCTTTAAAATGCTGGAGGTCTGTCTGGAGCTGAGATATGTAGTCCAAATGTCTGGACTCTCGTGGTGAGTAACGGTCAGACTTGGTATGCAAAGCATACAATAGAGGCTTATGGTCGGTGGAAAGGAAAAAGGTACTACCTTTTACTGCGTGTTTGATGGCACACTAGACTGCTAGCAGTTCGCGACCGAAAGCGCCTATCTCGTCTTAGTGGGAGTAAGGCGTCGTGAGAAAATTTCGAGAGGTTGCCAACTCCCAGGGATGTTTTGTTGCACAACAGCTCCTACAGCTAAATCTGACGCAACGACCGCTATACTAAGCGTGGCTGATGGGTCAGGATGGGCGAGAAGCGTGACTTCAGCTAGAGCTTTTTTAACCTCTAAAAATGCAGTATGTGCTGCATCGTTCAACTTTAATTTACGTGGGTTACCACGAAGTAAGTCGGTTAGTGGTCGTGACTGCTCTGCCGCGTGAGGAATAAAACGTCGGTAGAAGTTGACCAAACCGAGAAAAGCCTTCAGTTCCTTGAGTGAGGACGTTACAGTGTACTTCATGATTGTACTTACTTTATCTTCACAAGGTAGAATACCCTAATGCTTAATGATGTGACCCAAGAATTTTATTTATGCCTTGCTCAGTTCACACTTGTCTGGGTTAACTACTATTCCATTATCCGAAAGGCGTTGGAATAAGAGCGTAAAATTTCGATAATTTTCATCTACGTTTGATGATGCTATTAGCGTATCATCAATATAGACGTGAACGATGCAAAGTCTCGTACTACGGTATCGATAAACCTTTGGAACGTTTGAGCAGCATTCCGTAATCCAAATGGCATTCATAGTAACTCAAAAAGACCGAAAGGGGTCGTGATAGCAGTTTTCTCCATATCTTCAAGAGCGACTAAGATCTGATGATGTTCTCGTACCAGATCGATCTTAGAGTAGATAGTAGTGCCCTTGAGTGATGTCATGTATGTGAGAGACGGGATAACTATCAAAACGTGTTACTATGTTTAATGCTCGGTAGTCGCCACATGGTCGCCAACTTACCCCATCTTTTTTGCTGACCATGTGGAGTGGTGGGGCCCAAGGACTGAGAGAAGGACGAATAATACCTGGAGCTAGTAAATTGTCAAACTGTTATGTTCGTCACTAGGTACGCTTGAAGCTATTATGAGTTCACCTTAGTCGATAAACGCGAACGAGACAGTTACCAGCATCCAGATAGGCTACCTTGAATCCCAAACTAAAGTAAGAAGGCTTTGTAAGCGTAGATAGTATATTCTACAAACACCCAGCAATCACACCACAATCATACAACTCTCATTTATTTATGCATCATAGAAACGTCCTTGGGACAATTACGAAAATAGCATAATAAAATACACAGCAGCCAATCACAGACAAGGATTTTCCTGGTGGGAAATGAAATCTCAAGGGCAACTGATCAGCCCATGCTCGCAAACA